TGATCAAAAAATGGTCAGTATAATCATATCTTACAAAGTAATAAATACCCTAGGTACATTGCATAGAAGTGTAAAATAGGAGAACAACACTCAGAAAACAGCTTCGGTCAGCTACCCTATGTGAAGGGATTATCGGAAATATGCAAAATATTTGTGTTAGATATGAGATCAAACGTCTTTCAAAAGTGGTTCGAAATTTCGCAGATGCCCTTTCCGAGTAAGATCGTCCCTAGAGCAGGACATGACTAATGACTCTGTGGACGCCATCCCGTGAAGCTGTGGTAAGAGAGATACAGGCCGCCACCTTAAGGTAAAATTGCAAGAACATCGTAAAGACGTAACACGAGTGGAAACAGAAAAATCAGGCGTAGCTGACCACATATAAAGGGAAAGGGAACACCAACTTACCCTGCGGGATGAGGTTGAAATAATAAACAAAGAACATCAATGGAAAATACGAAAACTTAAGTAATCCGCATATATGTTATACCACAAAAATCTCCTATGGCGGCCAAGCATAGAATGAATACAATATGGGAACCAGTAAAACGGCGTGCTAGAGAAAAACAATGATGACAACAAAATTGCAACATGAAGTCTGGTAAAAAAAAAAAAAATACTCACACATTAAATTTATAAGTCCCCAAAATTCCAATGATATGCGGTGATATACGTTACAATTTGGAATCGAAACTCTATTTCTCCCACCGGGGTAGATTATTCTAGTTCCACGTGCCATGCCATTTCTTGATATCTCAGTTTCCCTTTAATAACTCACATTTACAAGATTTTGTTTCTCTCTGCTGTAGGTATTCAACGATTCTTTGGGTCAACTCACTGGATTACTACTAAATTTGTTATCGATATCGGCCATGTGTTCTTTCGGACAATAAAGATGCGAACAACAGTCCACATAATGTAAATATGGTAAATATTTACAATACCTCATCTCAGAAATATATATATATATATATATATATATATATATAATGAAAATCTTGGTAATCCGTGTGGATAATCACAAGGAGATCTCAATATTAAATGAGAGAGATTAATTCAATGAAAACAGATAACTTTAACGGTCCATTGCTTGTAATTTATTTTCCCAGGGAATATCTTTTTCCCCTGGCTTATCAGACCACATTTCCCAGGGGGGAATAAAGAATTTAGATTTATATATATATATTTTTAAACAATTTTGAAGGGGAGTATTAAGTTGATGTAAAAGGATATAGAGAGTGTGGGGTGGAGATTGTGATAGACACGGTCGAAATTAAAGAGGGAAAGGAGAGATAGGAATGAATTTAAATCTATTTTTATTAGAATATTTAATCGTGAGGAAGTGAAGGTAAGGGCCAGACATTGACCTATTTAATATAAAATCTAACAGAAAACGATATAAAGAGAAAAAAGAGATTATGTAAGAAATAAGAGGTGGAATTAGGGTTTAATGAAAGAATATATATATATATATATATATATATATATATATATATATATATATATATATATTGAATATCTATTTATCTTGAATATCTATCTCTCTCTCTCTCTATATATATATATATATATATATATATTAAGAAATGGACAAAGTCCGACAACTTATTTCATTTTTTGTTTAACGTTCTTTTTTATAGATACAAGTATTTAAGTAAATGCTCTGTTTATAATAAACAGTATTATAATAAAAAAAGAATAATAAAAAGAACGTTAAACATAAAATGTCTTTTAAATATATATATATATATATATATATATATATATATATATATATGACAATGTGGAAAAGTATACATGTGTTGCGTTTCGTCCTTCAAGACTTGATCGAACTAAATTTGTTATTTGGTAAGAAATGTTAAGCCAGGGCGTATATTTACAGTAGATGATTTATACCCAGGTTTTTACACCATTCCTGGCAGTTTCTTTATTATCACAGCGATAGAAAGAAAACTAAAAAAAAGACTCTAAATGAATGCGTCTAGATATAACAAAAAAAAATTCTAAAATTTCCAGCAGCCCTCGTTCGTACATATCTGCTGTCTTACCAACATAGCACATTTAGTCCGATGAAGTCCTGAAGGACGTAACCCGTCACAAGGAAACGTTTTCCACTTTTCATACAATTCCCCCAATACTGTTCTTGATATATAAAAATACATATCGTTATCTCATGTAGATTTCTTTCCGACCCACGCCATTTAATTTATCTTACAGCCATAAAGCGTTGAAACACCGGTTCACGTATGATCAAGATTAAGCAACGTCAAGCCTGGCCATTAACTAGATGGTTGAGCGCCTGAAAATCACAGGTGCTTTGTTGGGTAATGCATAATGTATCGCAATAGTTACGTCATCTCTTCTCTCTCTGTATATATATATATATATATATATATAAAGAAGAGTTCTCCCTCTCCATATATATATATATATATATATATATATATATATATATATAATAATGGTAATGGACTCTCCCGTCGATTTCGACGTATGAGTATATGACAAGTTTGTGCGATAATCATAAGTGGCATTTAAGACCCGCTAGTGATCTACAAAGGAGGCCACATATGGAGCAAGTGTGAGGACTGTGAGATGAGATCCCTGTTAGATTGGTTGACCTTTTAGTTCTTGCTCTCGCTTCTTGAACATGATTCAGACAAGCAGATTGAAAATTGCTGAGTCCACTAAAACACGGCCGTGCATTCGTTACACACACACACACACACACACACACACACACACACACACATATCCTGCCGTTGATTCTACCCGCTCCAAGGCTAATCACTCAAGGGTGTTATGTGGTATATTAACTGCTGACACGTTGCTTTTCAGCTTGTCTTTGTATCTTAGCCATAAAGAAAGAGAGAACGAGATTTTAGGAGTGTTCCATGTTTCTAATCTGTCAATCGTAGACACAATCCTCTAAGTGAGATTTACTTGACCCCCCCCCCCCGCATGAATCAGGTCAGATTTTAACGTGGGGACCCGAGTGTTTTCACTCGGGCCGCTTGTCTATGATGGTCTTAACTGGTCATAGCTTGTCCACGCTGGTCAGAGACGGTCTAACCTAGTCATATCTGATCTTGGTCAGAGCAGGTCCAAGCTAGTCGTAGCCGTGATACCACCAGCACAGGGACGGAGCCATGTGCCAGGACCTATAAGATGTTGAAATGGGACACGATACTGATTTAGTCATAATTAATACTATTATTAATATTATCATCAATATTTTTATTATTGTTTATCTGATGTCGATTATTTCATTAGTCAATGTCTTAGCTTACAGACGATTGCTCTGTGACTGTTGCGTTGAGTTTCGATCTTTTTAGTGCATGTTGATGTTTCAGCGTTCATTCGAGCACAAGCACAGAACGGCAAATCATTTCCCAAACGCTAGCTATAAGACTTGGGGGTGAAGAAGCGATTGGCCCAGGGACATTTGTAAGGCAATCAAACTAGCAGCCTGGGCGGATGAGGTGTGAATAGAGAACGCGTGTTCTAACGGCAGTTTGGCAATCGCTCTTGAGAGTTAAATCTGATTTTACTTGGTCTTTAAAATGTCTACGGTTTGGGTGGTAAGTATTTTTCTTTACGTTTCAGTGACACCCTTCTACACGACTTGGCGTGATTGTCACGGATGTTTAGCAGTCGGTTGGGGGTTGGAATTGGGGCGTCAAATTCAATCATCTCACTGGGTTACTGTTATGGTCCAGGTTAGGACCAAGGAAGAACAACACGAACACAAGAGTAGAAATAACGAAGGTATATTACGCGAAATAATAATACAAGATGTGGAAGGTGTTAGTATGACTGTCAGTCTGGTTTGGAGTGAACTACTATCGGCTCGACTCGATTCGGTATCTAGCCACCCCCACGAGGGTTGCATGTGGTACAAAGCCGAGTTTAACGTGGGTTTCCCGAGCTCGTAGGCTCGGCCAAAAAATGCCCGTAGAACCCGCATAAACGGGATCAGGTTGGTCAGCCTCCTTGAACGAGACTTTGCCCTTCGGCGGAGCCTCGTCCGGGTTCCTCTTGCTCAGAGGCAAAGAGTTCGACCGTCAAGCCGAGAAGCTCGGCTTGATTCGGTATCTAGACCCCCCACCCCCACGAGGGTTGCATGTGGCACAAAGCCGAGTTTAAAGTGGGTTTCCGAGCCCGTACGGTTGGCGTATAAACGGGATCGGTGTGGTCAGCCTCCTAGAACGAGACTCTGCCCTTCGGCGGAGTCTCGTCTGGGTTCCTCTCTGCTCAGAGGCAGAGAGTTCGACTGTCGCCGAGCTTCTCGGCTTGATTCGGTATCTAGCCACCACCCCCACGAGGGATGCATGGGCACAAGGCCGAGTTTAACGTGGGTTTCCCGAGCCCGTAGGCTCGGCCAAAAAATGCCCGTAGAACCCGTGGAATTAATTTTCTCTTGTAACACTTATATCAACATTAAAGAAGGCCCCATGACGTAATTGAGGAAAATACACGAATTTTAGAATGGTTGCGTTGCCTTTCGTATCTATTGCCCGTTTTACAAATAATCTGTGAATCACAAAGAAAAAATTTCATGATGGTAGTGTCTTTTCTTGATAAAATACGATGGTGTTTTTGCCGATTTCTAGAGTGCCAGTTTATTAACCGGTGGTGATTTTCATTTATATAATTTCACCAATACACACACACACACACACACACACACACACACACACACACACACACACACACACATATATATATATATATATATATATATATATATAGAGAGAGAGAGAGAGAGAGAAAGTAGCAGAGAAAGAAACAGAGACCAGGATTTTTTCAAATATCTTCATTTCTGAAAGAATTACTTCTTTTTCAATCTAACGTACCTGACAATAAAAATGTTGCGAAATTAAAAAAAAAGCGTTGAAATTTTAAACCTCCTCTTATTTAAAATGCATATAATGCATAAATTTATCCGATACTAAAAGAATTTAAGTATTATTTTCTCAAAAAATTGAACACCATTTACTTCATTCGACAGACAAGTAGATAGATAGATAGATAGATAGATAGATAGATATGTATACTCGGATAGAAATATAGAAAGATAGAAAGATATACAGATAGATAATATGTATACTCTGATAGATAATGTGTATACTCAGATAGATAGATAGATAGATAGATAATGTGGATACTTGGATAGAAAGGTAGATAAAAAAACAGACCGATATACGGATAGATAATATATACACTCTGATACATCAATAATGTTTATACTCAGATAGTTAATGTGTTTACTCGGATAAATGAATAATGTGTATACTCAGATCGATAGATAGATAGATAGATAGATAGATAGATAGATAGATAGATAGATAGATACCGACCAATCTGAAATAGATAGATAGATATATAGATAGATAGATATTAAACATGGTGAGATAGATAGATAGATAGATAGATAGATAGATAGATAGATAGATAGATAGATAGATAGATAATGTGTATACACGGATAGATGAATTATGTGTATACTCGGATAGATAGATAGATTTCCTCGCCACTAAATATTTCTATAAGAAAACCATTTCCTTTCGAACCAAACGAAGATCCTGACTTAAAAGGACTTTTGTCTTCTTATCTTAGCTTACAAACCCTGAGTGGGTGAAATTTTGTATAGAAGTCATAGTAATTTGCTTCCGGCGTATTGTTATCAGCCGACTTCCGTCTTATATAAAGTTCCGTATATCTTTCTGTCATTCCACATCATACAACGATATTAAAAGATATATCATTACGTCCAGTCTACACGTTCGATTATGAATTATTTAATCAATTAAATGTCAAATGATCTCGCAATATATCAGCTAATTTATGTGTCTATATATGTGCTTAATTAGTTCCATAGTTTATGCTCTTTCCACATATAAAATGAAATATACTTTAGCGGCTAATGGGGGTAATTTAATTAGTGGAATGGCTTGCGGTCTCATTACATACTGGAACTTGATCAATTCCGCGACGATGTCTGTTTGAACTCGCAAAAGAAAGTTGCTGGTTTTAATTTGTAAACACTGGTAACTAATCGGTTGGAATAAATGATCGTAAAGTCCTTCGATAAGTGGCATTTGTGTCCGTGATTTTGCATTTACACTTGACTTAAAGTTATGGCATATTTTGAAAGGTGATATTTCAGTGCCCAGACGATTATCATGTAGATTTTGAATTTTAGATTATGTGTGTGTCAATGCTTCGAGGAAAATGTCCTATGTATTCGTCAGTTGATGCTTTTTCTTAAAAAAAAAAAAAATTCATAAGAGGAAAAATTCTGTACAAACAAGAAAGATATGTGAAGTTTATGCAGATGACAAATTTGTTATTTTACAGCTTATCAACCCTTTGCAATTTATTTAAAGCATAACATATATTTTTCGATTGTACGAATATTATTTTTGAAAATAATAGTTTAGAGATACAAGTTTTACTAATTAACCCATAGCTGGGGAAAAAAGAGAGGAGTTCATATTTTTCTAAGGGTATTTGTCCGTTAGTGAACATGGCAAGCTGCTAGTCATTACTCCACCGTGCTTCGTTGAGTAATCCAAAAGCCGAGTTCGAATTCCAGTCGAATCTATTACATTCACATACGTGCTGATGCTCTTGGGAAAGGTATGAATCCTCTTCTTCTCCCCCCACCCAGCTTTGGTAAATAGCTGGACAGACTGGGTTCTTTAGCCTTGCGTGGCAAGCGGTCTAGGAAAAGAAAAAGTCTGGATTGTAAACCGGAGAAACATCACTTCAACTGCAGCTGCAGTGCATGTGGTAACCCTAAGATTCTGACAGGTCACGGGATTTTGCGTACGCGCGATTCGCCCAAATATAATGAATTTAACGCTAATTTCAACTCTGCTCTCCGATTAACAATTTGGAATCGTTATCCCTTATACCACACCCATATCCAAGCTTACAGCATCTGGTATTCCCAAGCGGCCACTTATCTAGGTATTGACCAGGCTCAACGTTGCTTAACTTCTGTGCTCGTGCGAGTGCCTGTGTTTCAAATTCAGTTCACAAGGGCGGGACTTCGCAGGGATATACCATATATCTCAGAAAGACTTTCATTTGGGTAATTCACGATTTAAATGAAATAATGTAAGTAAGGGCCTTTCTTCTTCAATTCTCTGACGAAGCAGAAAAAAAAACACTCCATGTTTGATACAAAAGTCGCAGAAGAAGAAAATTAGACATTTACAAAAATGTGAAACGAAAAAAGCTTCGGGAAAAAGCGAAATAAGTCACTGTTAATCGCTCCAAAATGCGCTCTGCACGCAAAGATAACGCTGCATTTCCTGTTTGTTCGCGACGGAGGTCTTTATTATATTTTCCCTCCACAAAATCAGTCGTTGAATGCGCAATGGGTGCTGTTCTCAATATGTTAGATTAAAGGAAGCGACCAATGAAACGCTTCCGGAACGGGTCAATCGGGAAGTTTTCGACTTCCTTCAATGCAATGCCTGGAAATTCACACCAATTTTTTTGACCACGCAAATATTGGGAAAAGTTATAACCGATTCCTTACTGCACCCGCTCTACTCAGCAATACTTTGAATCGTTTCACCCCAAGCCACGCGATAATGTCACTAAGACGCAGGAGTTTATTGGGAGTGAAAGAGGATAAGGAGAAGAGATTAATGAGGAGAAGTAAAGAAAGGAGAATAAAGGAACAGGTTCAAGAAGACAGAAGATGGTGATTGTCGTTGCAATTAATAAAGATGACAGCGAAACGAGATATCAGAAGGGAGATCCACAGGTGACAAGTGCGAGAAAAAAGAAACCTGACAACAACAGTGTCAGTTGCATATAGCTAGTTCAACTACAATAGGATAAGGCCAATCTATTAGTCAAGGCTTTTGAGAAAAAAGCTCACCATAAAATTTGCCATGTAAAAAGAGGGGGAAGCAACTTTACGTCAGTGAGAAAGTGACTGAAACATAGATGCTAGATCATGATCGAATACATTAGTGAGTCTTCTTTGGATTTTGTCGACGTTCTCCAGATATACAGCAGGAGCATCAGACTACATCTGGCAAAATTTTTCAATGCAAAGCCGAATGGTAGATTTATAAATTTGCAAGATGGATTCGGACTACAAAAGTTTTCTGGCAATCAAAATGAATCAACTTTCCTTGCAGTAGATACATCTATTGATTCGATGTCGTCGCTCCCCTTAAAATTGCTTTATGTATCTACAATTGTGTTGGATTCTCACCCATCTTTATGTATGTATGTATGTATTAAGACATTTTTTTATTTATACGTTTTTTTATAGATACATTAATTATAGATACGTTAATACTTTTAATTATAAACAGATCGTTTACTTAAATATTTGCGTCCATAAAAAGAATGTATAAACATAAAAAATGTCTTAAAATAATTGTCGGACTTTGTTCATTTCTTAATGTGTCACGTCATTTGATTACATTTGGATACGCATCGAGAAGATATGAATGTACGAGAGAAAATCATGGAGAACTGTAGTTTAAATACAGTAAAATCAACCTTCCTAACCGAAACGCTCCTCTATGGCTCAATCGGTAAAAGTACGTGAGGCTATATGGCGGTTCCGTATAGGATACAGATTCGATTCTTGTCGGAGGACGCATATTTTCTGTGAAAATTTCTCAGACCTGCAGGGCGGTAAATGGAGTTAATACTGTTTATTATAAACAGAGCCTTTACTTAAATATGTGTATCTATAAAAAACGTATAAATATAAAAAAATGTCTTAAAGTAATTGTCGGTCTTTGTCCATTTCATGTGTGATATATATATATATATATATATATATGAAGAAAAATATACAGAAAAAACAAACAAAAATCTTAATATGCAATAATGTTGTATTAATGTTAATATAATATAAACATCATATTAAGAGATTTGTTTGTTTTTTCTGTATATTTTTCTTCATACTTTTCTATATATATCCATATATTTATATATATATATATATATATATATATATATATATATATATATATATATAATCACCGGACACCCTGCCAACCAAAGCGCCAATGCCTCTAGAACACGTGGGGTTGCAGGGAGGAAACTGAGAAAAGGGGAAAAGGAGAAAAAGGGTTCACAATGACAAAAGATGGCGATTGATATTTCATTTAAATTGGAGTTATCAGGAAGAAAGACATCGTAAGTTACTCAGGTGGGAAGTTCGAGAAAAGAAATTGTTAGAGAAGCATTGGCAGTTGCACGTTAAATAGTATAATGGCGAGAAATAGTTGCCAATCTATAAGTACGCTTAAAAATTCATGCAGTCAGAGCAGCAGGGTAAATATCTGTAGAAAAAAGAGGAAAGCCATGTCACGTCGGTGAGAAAATTACTGAAGTCGAGTTGCCTGGTCAGTTTCAGTGACATTACAGAGCCTCCTTTGGATTTTGTCAAGAATCTCGAGATATATAGCAGGAGCACCAGATCCAATATGGCAACGTTATTCAATGCATGGACGAATGGTAGATTTGAAAATGTGAAAAATGGATTCTGACAAGAAAAACTTTCTGGAAAATCACAGTGAACCAACTTTCCTTGCAGTAGCCATAGTGCCTGCTTCGATATAGTCACTTCATTTCAATTCCTGATTTATTAATATACTGATTGACACTGATATTGATCTGTACAATAAATAATTACAATACCGCATCTAAGAAATATAAACAGATATTAAAGGACTGGTACGGAGACGATATACCAAAAGTATGGTGACAATTAGAAAAGTCCCACTAGAGGCTGGCACGATTTTCAAACCATCTAACATTCCTACACCGATGCAGTCTTCCCTCGGCTTGTCACCAAGACTTCTCGTCAATTCAATGTGAGTCCGTCTGTTCGCAGAAAAAGCGGGACATACCTTTGTTCGAGAAAGAATCCAGCATAGCCGTTAGAATTTTTTTTTAAGCGTTTCACCCCAAGCAAGACGAGAAGCCACTTGGACGCAAGGGGTTACAGAAAATTTGGAGCAAGATCAGATAGGAGTGATAGAAGAAAGGATGAGGAGAAGGGTAGTGGATAGATCAAGGCAACTGGAGATATCGATTGACATTACATTTGAATAGCTGGGGATTATAGCTCTCAGGGAAACTGGAATAGGGAAGGGAGTTCCACAGGCGAGAGGTGCGAGACATGAAGCTATTGGAGTAGAAGAGACGGCTACATTTCGACAGTGAAAGTGTGAGAGCGGGATGCCAGCCTCGTAGGGCGCTTGAACTCATGAAGTCTGGGAACCAGCGAATGCAGCTCCTCGGAGCAATTGCCATGAAAGTATTTGTAAAAAAGATAGAGAAGGGCGACGGCGCGTCTGTGAGAGATTGACTGTAGACGAGATGCCAGAACAGGGCCAATTATATTGCATATCAGCCTCTGGAGCCTACCAAGAACCCCGAGAAAAACAGAGGGGGCTCCAGACCACATATGGCAGCAATACTCTATGCAAGGGTGAATTGTTGATTTGTAGATCTGGAGGATCGATTCCGAGGAGAAAAACTTCCTGGCGCGGCACAGGGAGCCAACTTTCCTTGCGGTGGACGAAGCAATTGACTCAATATATTTGTTCCATCTCAGGTCAGCCGTCAACGTGAGACCTAGCAGCCGCAGAGAGGTGCTCTCGAGAAGTTGAGCGTCAGACATTCTAATGGAGGGCAGGGATGGATCTCTGTGGTGATTAATAGAGAGCAGTTTTGTTTTT